ACCACTCACAGGATGTGACCCACCCTGTATATGGTCTGCCAAGGCTTCAGCCTTAAGCCTATAAAATTGATAAAAATTTCCTTTTCTTTTCAATTTGCCATTTATTTCCATTTCATTAATTCAATTTACATGCTACTTAATGGCTAAGTAATAATAGGATTTATAATATTAAACATTATATTATATAGACGTAGTTTGAATCGAATCTATTATACCTTCTGTGGTAGTATAAAAGCTTTTCATCATGGAATATTAGACCTTCCTCGTTGAGTCTGCCCAACGCAATAGGGGGCATAAGTTTTCGAGCCAATGTTGCTCTTAACTCCTCCTCGAGTTGTATAAAATCCTGTATAATTAGGTTTCAATTGTTTCACATTTTTCAAAAAACTTCAGCATTAAATTCGTCATGAAGGCGTCAATTCTGCTGAAGTTAATTGCTATATGTATATACTTCTTTATTGGATGAGTTTCTGAGCTCCCCATCTCTATTTAAGACCGGTTTTAAGCCTAAGGCCGCCAATAGAATTTTCCTTTCAAAAACTTTTATTCTCTCCATCTGGGCCTACGATATATCCGACCAGGCTGGAAAGGAATAAGCTATAATTGATCTTAATATTTGTTTGTATATTAGGAGTTTTATTTGTGGTGTTAGCCCACGTCTCCTCTTAAATATTCTTTGACATTGGAAAAAGATTCCCTTAGCTTTTTGTAGAGTGAACTCAATGTAACTAACAAAATTGCATTTTCTACTAAATATTATCTCTAGATATTTCATATGATCGGTTGCAGCTATTGGGTCATTGCCTACTCTAATATTTGGTTTTCTTAACCCAGGGTAGGTCGCCTTTGGTTTTCCATTTATCATTATGGACCTACATTTCTGTATATTTAAATTAAGCTTCCACTTTTGAAAGTACTTATTCAATGTTTCCCAATAATTGTTTAAGCGTCTGTCTAGGGTGTGCCCTTGCATAGCTATGAGAACATCGTCTGCATACGTTAATAACAAACCCCCTTGTTATTGTTCTGAAACCGAATTGACAGTTTCTGAGCATGTTACTTTCTTCTATTATATTATTACATTTTTCTAGGATAAAATACTCAAATAATTTTCGAAATGGAGATAACAGAGAAATGGGCCTGTAATTTCCGCATTTCTCCGCATCAGCATATGGCTTTTTTATGGGTATTACCAATGCTTGTTTCCATTTCTTTGGAAAGTAGCCTATGTTCCACGAATGGTTAAAACCCAATGTTGGGAAAGTTAACACCGTCTCTCCAGCTTCTTTGGTGGCCCCATCTGGTATTCCGTCGATCCCAGACGATTTTTGGAGGACCTTTTTTTAATTGCCAATGCCACCTCTGATGGCTTAATTGATCCATCAGCTGTTAGGTCACTGTAGAAATCCATCAATGGGGTACGGATGTCGATTCAAGTAATAGCCTCCTAAACAAGGCCATCATCGGCACCGCCATCCATGATCCCATCTGAACGATGATTGCTCTGCAAATGATCCCCAAACATTTCAGCTTTGATGTTATCATCGGTTATATGAGCACCAGAGTCATTCATAATTGTACCTATAGACTGCTTATATGTAATACCCGCAGCGCTTTTGACTTTTTGAAACATTTTGGCATTAACATTAATGTTCTCTAGGTAAGTAGTATAGAAAATAATTATTTGCTCCTTTATAATTACTCCTATTTTTTTTATATCCGCCCTTATTATCCCAAGTCTGCCAGGGTCTCCAGATCTGCGTAATATATGTCACAATATTTTTCTTTCTTTTATAAATCTTATTATATAACTCGGTAAGACTCCCAATATGTGGCTTTTGTACTTGCCACATTTGCATAATATCTGGTTTATGTCTGTTTAACAATTTTTTTAGATAGTGTCGTCTTTCAATTGACACTATTGAATTTACATTGAGGATATCAACATGGATATCCTTTAAGGTGCATCAAGAGACTGAGGAAGGCAGATTTCTTATCATCTCCGCTGCTGATGTTGTCAGTTTTGTTCTTACTGCAATTGTTGTTTTTGGTTTTGTTGATATTGTTGTTGTATAATGTTGTTAGTTTTGTTTCTACAGCTGCTGTTGTTGTTGCCATTGTTGTTGTTGTATAATTACTTTCAGTCTGATTTGTTTGTTGTTGTTGTTGTAAAATTTTTGTTTTTCCTGTCATCTAATATTTCAGGCAGTATGGGCTTGTTGCTTACCTGTACTGGAGCTCAGCTTGCCTCCAGTTCAAAATTTGATGTGAGTGGTGGGTTATTTTCAATTTCCATAATCTCGCTGTTGTTACAAAATATTGCTTGTTTATTGTTTCCATATGATGCGATTTGTTTTTGTAAGTCTGCTATAACTCGTTGGTAACTGTTTTCTCTAGCAGCTGCGGCTGTCAATTGCCTGGCAGTGTCTTCCTGCAATATTCTTAGTTTTTGAAGTTCTTGCTCCATTGCTAGAAATTTTGTTTCTAGCTTTTCACTAGATAGATACTCATCAGTGGGATTTGTCCTTTTTTCTTATCTCCTTTTTCTTATCATCACTTTCGTCAATTGTTTTATTATTAGTTGAAATAATGTTTTCGACATCATTACTAGGTTTATTACTACCTATGTCGGTAGCTGACACCATATTGTTCGTTGATGCCATGCAGGCTGCAAACTTTATCACCGCCGACACTTATATAGATTTTTTTTGGAACCACAATAACCAACGATTGTTTTTATCTCTATTTTATCGCTCTTATTTTGTGGTATTTTTAGGCACTTTTTACTTTTCACTTTATTTTATTTTTTTAAACACTTCACTGAACACAGAATGATTCAACTATTTTTCATTAACTTGCGTAAAATGTCATTAGAATATACATATTTTTTTCATTTATTTTTCAAACTAAATGAAAATAAATAGCATTTTTATACGTTTTTGGAGTAAAATTTTTTGCCAAAATTAAGGTGAAAATGCTTGTATTTTCTTTATTTTTGAAGTAAAAGTCAAACAAATGTATTGAACACCCTTAAAAAATATTTTTAATATAAAAACTGATAAAAAAAAGTTGGACGATGCCAACAACACGCGGTGTTCCCAAGCGGTCCCCCATCTAAGTACTAACCGCGCCCGACGCTGCTTAATTTCGGTGATCGGACGAGAACCGATGTACTCAGCGTGGTATGGTCGTTGGCAAAGAAGCATTGTTTGTTTGGCTTCATATGCCTGTTTGTGAGTGCTATTTAAATTTAAAAAAAAAATTAAAATTTAAATACTCAAAACTTGATGGCTTTCACTTCAAGAAGTTATTGAAACAATTTTGGCGCAGTGGAATTCACTTCAATATTATTATACACTCAATGATTTCGAAGCTGATTCCCAAAAGTTAAGGCTCAATTCTTATATTTCAGAATTTTCAAACCTTTTTTACAAACTTGTATGAGATTTATTGGCTCCTCGAGCCAGCGCAAAAAAAAACACAAAAACTTTCTTTAAAATATTTAATTGTCACTGGCGCAACTTTATTTAACACAAAATTATAATTTAATATAATTTGTAAATATATTACCCGATGGGACAATGAACTTATTATTAATATAATAAAAATAGTAATTTAAATTAACAATTGATTAATTTAATAAAACGGAGTTAAGTTATTTTGCAGCACGGCAGTTTAAAATATTCTGTTATATTTATATATGTCGAGTAAATAAACAATGCAGCGACAACAACAACAATAACAAAGAATAACGTAACAGAGACAGTAAACAAAGATCATTGTCCGCGCTACGTTGCCAAATTATGGCCTTGAAATATTAGGAATAGAAAAAAGGGAATAGGCAAATTAGAGTAATAACAAAGTAGAGATGTCAGTTCGTGACAAGTTAGGGAAGAAATTATGGATGCCATATTAGAATGGTAATATAAGGGAAAAATAATAAATATAATTAAATAACGAATAAATACGAAATAAATGAAATGTTAAATAAATAAATAATCGTTTGTTCTCCAACAAAACTGTTATTTTTTTCTTACAATATGTACAATGATAAATATTATCAAATTAGAAATGTAGTCTGAGGATGCCAGAATGAATGTAGAAATTATTAACAGCCTGTTTATGTATTGCGAAAGAAAGGTTTCTTTCGCTTTCAATGCGAATGAAAATCAATTTTGGTTCATATAAAAACTTTTTACCGGCAAAAGAAGTCGAACGATAAACAATTCGAAAGAAAATGTAAACGTATATTTTTTCTATACTAATTGGGTTTATGTATGACGAAAAAGTATCATCATGCAAACGAGAATTTCAAATTCACTCACTTGCTTTATAGCTTTCGAATGAATTGCAAAAGCGCGAATTATCTACCAAAATTTGAAGCACTTTCACACAACGCAATCTCTATACAAAATAAAAATTTTTGGAACATGTTTTATAGGTATCGCTTGGATTTTTCATTCATGTTTTTAAAAAATAAAATTGTACAAATACTGAAAAATTTCATTTGACAATTTTTTTTCTTTGTTCAAATATGTTTTGTATTTGTGTAGTTTGCTCTTATTTCCCATTTGACTCTCATTTATTGAACATTGTTGTAAAACTTTACATTTAATTTAGTAGTTTTTCGAATGGTATACGTAAAGCGGTGTACACACTATCATTTTTGAGTGACACTTTCGATAACTTATCGCTTGTTACAGTTTTATTGTGTTGTTTGTAGCGGTCACATTACCATTCATGCATTTCTTCAAACCGACATTCAAATGTATAAATTGTGGTAATAAGACGCCGTAAAGAAAATATATATTAAAAAAATGGATGATAAAAAAATTGGATGTACATTTTTAATAATCGCGTTGTTAGATGACGAAAAGAAAGTAATTAAAAGAACGAAATGGGTGAAGAAATGGATAGCCTCGAGAAAACAACATTCACATGTAAATATTTTAAAAGAAATTCGAGACTCTGAGCCCATGGACTTTAAAAACTATTTTAGAATGTCGGATGACAATTTCGAAAAAATAGTGGCTCCTCTTATAATAAAAAAACAGGATACCTGTTTGAGAGAAGCAATAAGTGTGCACGAGAGATTGGCCTTAACACTCCGTTTTTTGGCAACTGGACGACATTTTAATGATTTAAGTTACACTTCTGTAATGGGAAGGAACACTGTCTGTGAAATTGTTATGGAAACTTGTCAAGCTTTGAATATGGTACTGAAAGATTTCATAAAGGTAAGTTTTTATTTGTACAATTAGAAGATTAAATTACATTGCTCAACAAAAAGATCTTGGCGAGTATATAAGGAACCTTGCAAAACAGAAACGTCATAAGTCAAATTTGTAAGTTATGTCGCAACGATGTTTTCGCTAGTAACACTGAATCTTTACAACTTTGGTTGCGGATTTGTAGGTTATTTTTGAGATATCATATATTCATTCCGCAAAAATGTCGCTCGTAAGATTTGTGTTCCTCAAAGGCAAGACATCAACATTCCTATTTTTCTGTGTCCTTTTTACTTTTTCCCGATCCTATGTACACTAATAAATATATAAAATGAACATTATGAACAGCTGTCAAATTAGCTTAAAATATTTACATAAATATATCTAATAAATTAATTATATCTCATTACTAATAAAATAAACATGTATTTACGAAAATCAATTCAAATATTTTTTATTTATTATTCATATTAAACATAAGGTATATTAATAATTATAGGAACTTGAGGTGAGAATCTTAACTAAAACGTATATAATAGAAAACAGTATTGATTGAAAATCTAATTTTCTTATTTAAAATTATAAAAAAATTGTTTAAGATTCATGCAGTTATTTTTATCAAATTCTTCTTCATCTTCGAGTTGATCATCGGGTTCATCTAAAGTGGATGGAGACTCATCTTGTGGCGAGTTTGGACGATGATGAATTTTTCGGAAATGCATATTTGTCCGGTTTTCTTTTGGTGTCGAGCATCTTCCAATTGTAGGGTCCACATTTCGAAGCTTGGAAGCCCATGTTTTGCCCGACAAACAAAACTATCACTTTCTTTATTCAAGTACTGTATAGCCACGTCCAATGCATTGTTTTGTTTATTTGTTTTTTAATTTTCGTTGGAGGTTGGCTCAAATTGCCATCGATTGCACCATGAAGAGAACTATAATCTAACTGCAATTAAATAATAAATATTATATTTAATAGTAGTACAATAATATATATATATATATATATATATATATACAAATATATAATATTAAAATTATTTATTTTTTTTAGATGCCCTCATCCGAAGAAAAGTTGCAATGAATTTCGAAAAAAGTGGAATTTCTTCCACTGCATGGGAGCAATTGATGGGAAACATGTGGCTATACGTAAACCAGCTAACTCTGGATACATTACAACAACTACAAAATTTTTTACAACTACAAAAATTTCATTAGTATTATGTTAATGACTGTAGATATTGGTGCTAATGGCCGTGTTTCAGATGGTGGTGTAATGTTTTACACAGCATTTTGGCAAAAATTTTGAAATGGACTGCTTAATTTGCCAGATCCAAATACACTTCCTGGTGTAAAAACTCAAGTTCCATATGTTTTCATAGCTGATGACGCATTTCCCTTGTCAACGAATTTAATGAAGCCATATTCATCAAAAAATTTGTCAAGAGAGCAAAAACTATTCAATTACAGACTCAGCCGTGCTAGGAGAGTTGTGGAGAATGCCTTTAGAATTCTCTCCTCACGATTTGGTGTTCTTCAAAAACCCATACATTTGGAACCAAAAAAAGCATCAATCGTCACATTGGCTTGCTGTAATCTACACAATTTTGGATAAAACACAATAAAAAAGAATATGCAGCACGCTCAATTATGGAGTATGAAAATGTGGGAAGTGGAAATATACAACGCGGCCAAAGTTATAACAACACCCAGCGTATACCTCTGCAAAAATGTAGAAATCCTTCATATCAAGAAACAAAAAACATTTTGTTACTAATTTAATAATGAAGGCCAAGTTCCATGGCAATGGAATATTGTAAATTAAATTATATCAGAATTTAATGATTTTTACTTGAATAATAAAATTATAAATATGTTCAAAAGTAGGTTTTGAATTTTATTGGTTTCTTAATGAAATCTCGGTCTCACAATTTTTTTATGAGATTGTTGTTGACCATTACAGACGTTGAATTCTGCAACCTATACTAAATTTTTCATTTGTTCAGATATAGGGTTGCTTCTTACAAAGGGACAAAATTACCCAAAATCGGGAGAAAATATATATAGAAGCTCTATCCAAATCTGAACCGAATTCAAAACTTTCCACATTTCAAAACTTTAGTACGTTGTGCAAAATTTGTTTCAATTTTGTGTAAAATCGGACCAAAATATATATGTAGAAGCTATATCAAAATCGGAACCTATTTTAATGAGAATTGCAGAGGTTAACTTATATTAACTACAGTTTATTGTACAAAATTGTGTGGCAATCGGACAAACTACGGTAAAAAATAATCTTTAAAAAATTATTCTTTATACTACGCCTTGAAATTAAAACTTATAGCTTCGCTACTTCTTAAAAAAAAGGTTTTTTAAAAACACTTTAAACCCGGATAGTTCTCCAAAAGAAAAAATTAAAAACATCCATGCTTATAGTTACGAATGAAAAATATTTTTTATAAAATTGAAAGAGTAGATTATTTGTTATTATTTTTTATTTTGATTGAAATTTGGCGAACGACAATTGGCATTATATTTCATGCTCTGGCTGGCTTGTTTTACATTTAAAATTTCTACTGATCACAGTTACAAATGCTTGTGTTTTTTATAATTCTACACTGCTATTAAAAAATCAAACCATTCATGATTGTTTTCATAAACAAAAAAAATCATCTACAGCAAAAAAAAACAAACAACATTGCAAAATAATTTTAAAAAAATACAACTCAGCTCATTTTCATCAACAGGCAAAAAAACAACACAGCCAATTAAAAATTACAATTATTTATTAAAAAAATAAATGTCTTTCTTTTAAAATGAATGTCCGTTTATGCAAAAAAGTTTAAATTTTGTTTTTTATGTTATATAATTTTTAATAAAAATATATTTTCTTTAATTTTTTTTAATTTTTATTATTTATTAATTTATTTTGTTTCTTCTTTCTCCCCTTCTCTTCATTTTTTATTGTTTGTTTTTATTCTACTCTACATCCACTGTTATCATCACCCTGAATTATGTGTGCTGGTGGCACAGGGACTGCTGCAAATAATACCAAAGCAACAGGTGCTGCGGGTACAAATACGGGTGCTGTGGCAACTTATGTTTAAGAAGAAAAGCGAAAGTAAAAAAATCGCAAAATTTAAGTGAAAATTAAAAAAATAATAATTGTGAAATTATAGAAGTCCATACAAAGAAATAGATTCCTAAATCTAAAAAAAAAAACAATTTATAATTACATAAAACATCAGCAAAGAGAAATGAAATGAAGCGCAATTCAAGAATGAAAAAAAAACAACAGAAATAATTTCAATGTTTGCTTATTTTTTCAAAAACAAAACAAAAAAATATATACAAAAACATTCTTAAACAATATTTTATTTTATAAAAAAAAATAAATTATACTTAAAGTGTATATTATTTTGCTTCTTTTTTGCTATATTAAGTATAACGAAACAAATTAAACACACACACACACACAAGAAACATATTCTAAAATTATATAAAACCAAATATAGAATTTTTCTAAGACAATTTTCAAAAAAAAAAAAACAAAATAATTATACTCTTGAGCCTTTACCAAAAAAAAAAACAAATGAAAAAAAAAATAATTGTAATAATTGTATGTACTATATATAAAAAATAATAATTAATATAATTTATTAATTAATTCTGTCATAATGAAAAAAAACAATTTTTATTTTAGAATATTCCCCTAAATTACCTGTAACTTTACTGCCACTTTCCAGTATTCAAAACAAATCAAAAATATTCTCATATAAGGGACCACTATGTATGGATATTAAAATAGTTGAAAAAATATTTTGAAAAAATAATCGGAGACGTTGGAAATTTCTCGTATGTTAACGATCGATTTTTATTTTAAATATATTTTTTAAAGATTTTTTAGAGGGCCACTATAGCGATTATTTGTATTAATAGTTTTTAAGAATTATATTTATTTTTTTATTTGAAAGGAATAGAATTTTGTAAGACAGTAATATTAAAAAAAAACTAAGACCTGTTAATGCTTGAGAAAAAATCTTCTATAAAAAATCCACGACCTCTTTAAAAAAATCCACTCCCTCTATAAAAAATCTTCACGCCTCAATAGGACTTCACCAGTGTGGTGAAGGGTATAAATATAAAACGAAAATTAAGCACGTCCTCATTTTTTTTATAAACTAGTAAGTAAAGTAGTATAGTCGGACAGGGCCGACTTTGGGTATATTCGAAGGAACATTGACATGAAATTGAAGGAAGGAACATTGACATGATCTTTATGTATAAGTAAACCGACTAACATCAATCCCAACACATGACATTCTGCAACTTATCCTAATTTTGTTAATAGACTTGCCAGAGATTAATTTATACTAATTTCAGTACGTTGTGTCAATCGACCTAGCTTTGGGTCTTAAGTGCATCATTTACTTAAAATCGGAAAAGTATATATAGGAGCAATATGTAAATCTGAACCGATTTCAAGAAAACTTGATACACGAAAGGTTATAGTAACTTCAGTACATTGTGTGGCAGACGGCCAAACTTTTAGTCTTTAGTGCACAATTTACATTAAATCGGACGAATATATATTAATGAACGAAGTCAAAGTGTTCAAAACAGATTTTCACGAAATATAACGCACATCGTTCCGGACTCACTTCAGTACGATATGCCAATTTTCGTGCAAAAATCGGACGAAAATGCATATGGGGGCTATATCTGAATCTGAACCGATTTTCACGAAACTTAACACTCGTCATTCTACACTCAATTCAGTACGCTATACCAAATTTCATGCAAATCGAATGATATATAGGGACATTGGTGCACTATTTACATAAAATCGTACGAAAATATATATGGGAGCTATATCTAAATCTGAACCGATTTTCTCCAATTTCAATAGGGTTCGTCCTTGGGCCAATCAAGTGACCTGTACCAAATTTTATCCAAATCGGATCATAAATGCGACCTGCACTAGCTAAGACCTTTTCCAAAGCACCCTCGGTGAAAGGTGGCAAAACGATGACCATTGAAATCTCCGAATCCTTTTCTTCATCGTGTGAAGTCAAATAGGGCATTGTAGAACATAGGCACCCAAATTCTCATCAACGGTCATGTTGAAGACACCACGTTTATGCATCATGGGTACGAGAGAATACTGGGTAGGGGTGGTATAAAAAATCTCATGTTTGGTATCGAATCCAGTTGTTGATTTCCATGAGTCCCTCTTCGGCTTTGGTTCTGAAGTCAAACGATTCAAGTTCATCTTGGAAATTCTCCCATTGCAGACGTAGTCCCTTAACCAGCTCCTCTTCCGTCTTGCCATCAGCACCAAAAGGGAATGGAATGTGCTGTAGGGTGAGAAGAACATGTTCTCATTTGGTGTGTCTCAGAGTGAATTCCTGTTGGCCACGATACAAATCGGAGCGAATGGTTTGGGTATATTCATTTTAATGTCGCGTGACATGTACTCTGGGCTGGTTATGTCCCAGAGACACCGTTGCATTTCATAGCAACATAGGAATTCTTTTAAAAATTCGTTTTCGGAGTCCATGTTATTGTTTGAAATTTATTGTCTGACTGGCTTTTTTATGTTCACATTATCAAACCAACAAACATCCAACATCTGAATGTCACGCAACCATAAATTTTTTTGTGGTTGCCTGATGACTGAGAGAAATTAACGGCCACACTGGCAAGCAAACCCATATTTCAGCAAGAGTGTCATTCAAAAATGATAGTGTGTACACCGCTTAACGGCAAACGAACGATAGCTTTCGAAATACATGAACGCTTTTTTAAACGAAAGTGAGTGAGTTACTTTCGTTCGCATTGATTTTTGTTCGAAATAGAAAAACAGGCTGTAAGTCTTTCAAAAACTACAATATATGCCCTTGTTGGGCAAAGGTGGCTGAAGTCAAAACTAAACAAAGATATTTTTCCTTCTATATCACACATTTTTAGAGGGTTATTATATATTTCACATTCATCTACAAATGTGGAAAGGGTATTTTCATATCAAAATATTATTAAAACCAAAGAAAGGAACAGACTACATGCTTCGACTGCTTCAAATCTTATCTAAACAAAGAAATTGTTGAAGTCGTGCTGTCAACGATACATAAGAATATGTTGCAAAAAAATCTGTACTTAATTGATCATTTTATTTCGATCTAAAACCGAATAAAAACAATGTATATATATAAGACTTATAAGAACGTAG